CACTTCTGTAGCCGTATAATTTGCCATTTTACCAGAATTTTATCAGAGTACAAATGTTAAAAAAATACATAAACACTTGTGACTTTGGCACTAAATGGACAAAATTTTGGAGGGATACTTAGAGGAACTCCATCAGATGGAAAGTCCAAAATGTCTCGGTACTTTGGACCATTCAAGTTGCCTAAAGGGCAGATTACGCTAAAAGCAGTTTCTTGAGAAGTAATTAATGAGTAATAAAAAATAATGAGAAGTTTGTTTTAAGACTAATTTCGCGTATTAACAATGAAAACGTGGTATTTTTATTGTTAATTTATTGCAGAATCGTAAGCATGGGTTCTCAGTAAGAGAAATCGAAGAAATTGAATTTCGTCGATTACAGCGCCATCTATCATGAATCGAGAAAAATGTTTCGGACAAATTGTATGTGTTTTTAGCCAAAGATTCCGAATATGCAATAAAAAATAGGGGTTCCCATTTAAGATTTCAAACTTGCCCCCCCTCACCGCCCAGGGGGAGGGGTGAGGGGGCTAATTTTAACGTCATTGTACGTCCCCCTCGAAATGACGAAATTTTGATTGTAAACATTTTTTCGTAGTGTGCTTATTTTTCGAGTTATTTGGCTGCCTAAGTTAAAATGGGTCACCTTGTATATATATATATATATATATATATATATATATATATATATATATATGTGTTATAGAAATAAAGCAAATCTTGCAAAAGAAATTAGTTTTTATGTACACACTTAATATAAACATCCCAAGAGGGAAAAGTTACATTGATTCGACGTCTATCAGACATCTACATGAAACGTCTATCTACTATCTATGTCTAATCTAGATCGATATCGACCTAAAAACAGTCTACATTTTAATGTCTAATAGACCGTCATTTCGACGTCTTATCGATATTAACTTTAGACGGCCGTAGTAAGAGAATACCCATACAGCACAATAATGTTGAATCAATGTTGAAAGAATGTTGAATTGCAACAATGTCAAAATTGCAGCAACATTGAGAAACATTGAATCAACGTTGCACAAACCTTATAATGTAATATAACGTAAAAATGTCCGCAATTGTTGATTTACCTTGACATTTCAACGTCTTATTTATTCTTATTGTTTCATAAAAAAACTAATTTCTAATTTTCTTCATGTCTTATAACTGCTAGAAACCGAAGATTGTCAAACCCGCTCTAAAACTTTCGCGAATCCTTTCTCGATAATTTCGAATCCGAAGCAGTATGCAGGTCATCCATCCATCCTGATTGCGTTGCTTAACCTGAGGATCGAGCAGCACACGATGATTTCAATGACTTCAACGATGTTCTTATAATTTATGCTTATAAAATGTAAACTTACAGTGTTCACAGTATATTATAACGTACCTAGCAAATATGCGTTGACTCACCTATCTATTTTATTTAATATCTCTAAAGTTTATTTGCAAAATGACTTCGACCATTCCTTCCAGTTTAATGTTTTTCGAGTAATCTGACATTCCTAGCTTTGTAATACTATAATTGAAAAGGAAATCTAAAAAAAACTGACGTCTTCACTTAGAATAATTTTTTTAGGCAAAACGCGCGCGATAGCAATTACGAGCCAAAATTTACAAGACAGTAGAGCAACTCGTTACTTTTATATAAAAGAAAAAATCTTTACATCTTTACATCTAAGAAACGATCTAAAATGTATTAATTTAATGAATAAATTAAGTAAAACTTATTTATTAATAAAATATTAAGAAATTTATAGAAAGAAAAGAATATTATAGTAAAATTACTGTGATATATCATATTAAGGGGTATGGCCAGGGTAGCGGATCTTAAAATATCAGTAAACAAATATCCTGTGTAACCTCAAATCAAATTTCTAGTAAAAATGAAAATATTTTTACGCGTAAAGCAAAAGATATATATTAGACGTCGATTCAATATCGAATAGATGTCTGGAAAGTCTGTAAATAATCAACAAAATAAAATCCCGAAATTCTATCGAAAACTCTCTTTTAATGGTCAATATATTATGAATGGATTCTAAACCATTAAAATTTACTCAAAATAGAATACGTCTAAATTGCCATTTTTCTAGACGCGCATTTAAACTAGACATAACTTAGATTTCTCCGACATCGGTTAGATGTTGAATCGACGTCAGCGTTCTCGCTGGGTTATTATTATTTATAATCACACATACATATTTTCTTTTACTTTTTGTACGTACCCATATATATATTTAAACACACATTTTTAAACAATAAATTACCTCTTTAGAAAAATATTTTCTTCTTTCTATGTCGAAAGATTATAAATAATAAAAAAATTATTTAAATATAAATTGAATTATTTCAAAAGTATTTTTAAATTAATGTTTCTAGATTTTTTTAATATAATAACTTTTAATGTACTTATTTTTATTATTTACTATCTTCTTTTAATTTAAGGTTTTTCCGACCAAATGAAAGGCTATTTTATGCCTAATCCAATTATGTATAACAATGTAATATTCCGAACGACAGATTGGTCGAAAAATATGTGGAAACATTTCCATACACGCGCAATCCACAACCATCTGTTTACTTGATACGTTGACGTACATGACACGTCCTCTCCGTACCTTGTTATAATAAGCGATAATAATTAACATAGATATGTAGGATATGTAATATACAGAGTTCTCGAAAAATATAGAAACGGCTCAATAATTCGTCAGGGGTCCTGAAAAGAATGTTAAATACATAAGTTTCAGGGCGTACAATGGTGGCCTTGACGTTGATATTCAGCTTGATCTTCAAGGTTATTTCAAGATCAAATATGATGCCATAGTATTGAATACAGACGATCCCAAGAGGTCATTGAAGGTCAAATCTCCGTTTGGAGTGATCTGCGCGAATATCGTCGTAAATATAATTTTCAAAGGGAAATTTTGAATAGAACAACTGCAGAGTTCAATGAAAAGCATAGTTGATAGCCTGGACCTTGACCTTGAGATTGACCTTCTACTATATGGCCAATCGCGGCAAGATGAAAACAGAATTCGGTCAACCGAGGCAAGATGGAGTCGTTATCCGGCAAATCCAGATAAGATGGAGTCCATATCCGGCCAATCAAGGCAAGGTGGAGTCGATATCCGGCCAATTAACGTAAGATATTGCTACTCTCTTTATTACAATTTTGAGTGACTTCATGTTATCAAGTGCTCAAATTGTTTACTGTTTAGGATCTGTTTGGGAACAATGCCCTAGGCGTTCGTCGAAATTTTCCAATATCTTTTCCAACACTTCTAGTGTGATTAAACCTGAGACAACGGCAACGCGTTTACGGAGATCTTCTACGTCACGCTTAGTTTTGTAAACATTATTTTTTGAATACTCCAGAACAAAAATTTAGCGGTGACAAATCGAGTAATCACGTCGTTCAACTGTACCAGCTCTTCCTATCAGCTTATCAGGAAAAGTGCGATCTAAGAAATTTCTCACCTCTCGAGAGTAATGCAGTCCAGGCCCTTCCTGTTGGAACCAAACAGTAGGCAGGTCATCTCCAAATAGTTGAATAGCAAACAATACTTGAGTTTGTAATAAATGCAAATATCCAAGTCCGTTTAAATTCCCATCAATGAAAAATAGTCCAAATACACCACGTCGACAGATACCCGTCCAAATATTTACTATTTGACGATATTGTGAATTGGGAATAGGATTCCGATTTGGATATGTCTCATTAAATAAAGTTGCGACGTCTGCATACGATCGAACGCGGTCACTATAGACTCGCATCATTAAAAATGTGATTCTTTCTTTTTCAACTCTATATTACATGTACTAAAAGATTAAGTTCAATCTGACTCCACAGTAATACTCCACAATTTTTTTATCAAATGTAAAATTGTCGGAAGCGACGGAATAAGTTTTTGCATAGATACTTGAACGCAGGTATCATTTAGAAATAGACAGCGAGAGCGAATGGAGGGGATATTAACGAAAGCTTATAGTGTAGAGTGTGCATTTGAAAAATACAAAACATTACTGATAATTGACCTACGTATTTAGGA